TTTGAATAAATCACATTCCAATTTTCAAATTAGATTTAGGTATAGAGAATAAGTAACAAAAGAGAAATTGTATATAGCAGGTTCTCTTTATGAACAACAAGCATGTTCTCACAGGGTTTTTGCATAAATACCTAGTCTGCAGTTCCAAATGATTCTCAAAAGTCAGAAGTCCAGGCTTTTAGTTAGAAACTTTTTCAAGTCTCACATAATTCCAGTTGCTCTTTGTGTAAAAATGCTTCACGCTCTGGTACTTAACTCCTTATCGATTTGATTGTGTGCCTATTCTGAACAAAAATGCTTGCTTCGCCCCTGGTTTATGATTCTTGATTAAAAGTAGACGGATATACCTATTTCTTTATGACCCGTCACCGTAGTACCAAACATATATCATAGTACTCATGGAGTGCGCTTCTAACACTCGCTTGAAATATAATAGCCCAATTGAAATTTGACTCTGGCACCAATATCTGACAAGGACGGTCTATAGCTAGCTAACTCTGGTCACTGCTTATTGGCGTGCCGTGTCATGACAAATCAATTAACCCCTACAGTCTAACTATTAGTTCCCAAAATCTCACTAAATATCAAGGGGCAAAAAATTACACTGATTCAACCACAATGTGAACTCGAATTTTCTCCTTTATTGATTCCCTATGACTACATTTACAGCTAAACTATATTCCAAAACACACGGACACCCAAAAAATTCTCAATCATCTTCGTTCCTCAAGATTCAAAAACCTCTGCTACTCTAGCTCCACGCTCCAAATTTCTTTGCTTCATTTCTCTTCCAAAATTTTTAAAAAAAATGGCAACAAAATGATGGACAGATGAAACAAGCAAAATTACCAAGAGTTAACAAAAAATTTGAAAGATTATAATATGAAACCTGCAAAATGAACGGTCGAGGGCTATAATTAGTGTATGAAAGGTGCTCGCCAGATTGTCACAACTAGAAGCTGCTGGCGGACACGAGTCACCCAATCGAAAATCTCCAATCTATTTCTACCCCCAAGTTTCCTAACAACGTGACCTAAACTGCAAATTTCCTAAAATCGAAGAAAAATTGAATAAAGAACTCGCGTCAACGCAAGAAACTTCAGCAAAAACTACGATTAAGGACATAAAACAACTTGAAGGAACTCAACCATCAAGTAAAAAAATAAAAAATAAACAAAAAAAAATCTAAGAAAAGGAAAGTAAATCTAGAGAGAAATCGCACACGAGAGGAGCTTGATAGATTGCCGGAAATCGAAGCTGCAGCTAGCTCCATTGCCTTCTCGTCAAACGACGATCGAAGATCTAGAGAGAGAAAATGAGACACAGAGCTCTTTCAAGAACTTGAGAGAAAAACTGAGCTTTTGGAGTTTCAGAGAGAGAGAGAAAATGCCTGGAGGGAAAAGGGCGACGGTGGAGGATGGGAAGGGAGCGAGGTTAGATACGCTGTTCCTTCGGAGCTGGTTAAGCAGCGGACGGGCATCGAATTGTTGGTCGAGAAGTTGAGGTCGGTTTATTTTGTCCGGAGAGAGTTGTCAAGTGGTGCCGCGGAGCAGTGCAACGGAAACGGACTCGATTGTTACGGTTAGGTTTGTGGACAACGTTGGACCTGAGTTTCACGGAAAAGGGCAATTTCGGCAGAAAAGATGTGCACGGCGGATAACTGGTGGGTCACTCAAAAACAGTCTGCAGACTAAGAAGGTGTTTGGTTCAATTTCTAGAAATTATAGGAAATGTTTTTTATCTAAAATATGATTTCCTTGTATTTTTTAAAAAATTTATAGGAAAAGTTTTGAGAAATCAAAAAGTACCAATTTTCTTGTTTTTTGTACTTTGCTTGTTTGGTTCAAAACAAGAAAATAGCTCATAACTTTATAGAAAATAACAAGATTTTGTAGGTTTTTAATTAAACATGGTATGTGTCAGATTTCTGGTGATTTACTCTCATTTTGAGAGGAAATTACTTTTTGTAAAATTTGGTAGGTTTTGATATTTTATAGAAAATATTTCTGTAAATTTTTTTTTGAACCAAACACAATGTACAGAAATCTCTGGAAAACTTTTAATTATAAATTTGCCATTGTCAGATGTTTTGAGAAGAGCTTTCTCAAAAAGTGTGCAACCAAACAGCCCCTAATATCATGAACCATCGAGGATTGTGGATAGTGCTATTATAGATTATTTTCATTGGACAAGAACATCATAAATTTTTCTAGGGGTTAATTGCGAACCGATTCCATGTAGTTCTATTTTTGCGAATAGATCTCCCGAGCGAATTATGTTTCACTCCTAAAACCGTTTAAAAGGTCTGAGGAGGTGGGTAGACCCTCCATATAGTTCTATTGGTGAGGATATACTCTTAATTGTTTTTTTTTCTTTTAAAAGAGTCGAAAAAGTACACTAATAGAGTGTATTCACACTTGGGTCAATACTACATGGAATCTACAAGTAGAACTACAACGAGTCTATTCACGATTGTAAGACACGACATGGGGTCTACTCGCAATTAACCAAATTTAAAATGAGGAAAAAATTAAAAATTAAAGCTAAAATAGCACTAAATACCCTATTGTTTCACTATGTTTGCACTTAATACCCTGAGCCGAAAAACGTTGCACTTAAAGACCCCAAGTTGCCCACCATTAGAATTTTGTAAACAATGTAAAAAATCATGTTAAGACCAAAACTCCCCCGTTATTGAAATAAATATCCCAATGATAAATAAGTAAATACTACAATGAAATGGATAAAAATAATATGGAAAATACATATGTAACGCACATTAGAATATTTTTGGAAACATTCTCACATCCAACTAACAGAATGTATTGACGTGTTAAATTTAGACAACTCGGAGTATTTAATTGCGGTGTTTTTCAACATAGGTCATTTAAGCACAAATGTAATGAAACAATAGAATATTTAAGAGCCGTTTAGCCAAAATTAAAACTATGAAGTTACACGTATGTTTTACCAAATTACTATAAGTTTTCATAAATAACGACTAAAATATTACGGGTTTCATGTTTTCTGCTCATTAGATGTTATTTCTAAGAATGGCATTTATACTTTCCAAAGTGTTCATCACTTTTTCCCCAAAATGCTTCTATGATTTCACTCATCACCGCAATGCTTGTCTCTATTAAGATTTGCTTCAAAAAGATGACTCATCTGTGGAAATTTGGAATATGAGGAAGAAGTTGCGTTTTGAGTGTTTCAGTGATTCTCTTAGTGATCCCGTGATAAAAAATCACCACCCAATACTTAATTTTTCTAGCGTGCAAAAACATACTATTATGAATCGTATACTCATTTTTTAGTCCATTGGATTTGCCTGATTCTAATATTCTTTTATATTAAACTTTATATTTGCTCGAAGTTTCTGTCCTTCCATTTATAGTTTTCGCTTTGAATTTTTACTCAAAGTTTATGTTATTTGAATTGTAAAGACTTGTTCAAGTTATGAAAGTTATTTGTAGTTTTTTTTGGGAATATTGATTTTTTTTTTATCGTTCAAATTGTAGAGACTTATTCATTATGGAAGTTACCAAACTTACCCCTCTATTTCGATCGCTTAATTGCCTTATTTCTCTTCTAAAAGAAGGGGGGAAAAAAGATAAAAAAGCAGTAAACAACTAAGCCAACTAAAATTACCAAAAGTTATCAAAATAATAATAACGAGAATTAAGAATAAACTATGTATGCACTAAATAAAATGGACCGTCAATAACTCACACCGGAGGTGATCGATCGGTGTACGTGAGAGGCACTCGAGAGATCGCCGGGGAAAAAAACCCCGGCGCTAGCTCCCTCGCCTTCTCATCGAGCAACAATCAAAGTCTCAATGATGGAGATAGAGATGGTTGGAGGGAAAAGAGGAATGCCAGCGGATGGAAATCAGCTTTAAATTAAATTCATGATCGGTGAGATTTGAGCGTGAGTTGTTCTGATAACATCTTAAATTAAGCTCCTCTACTTATTACATCAAAATTCTAAACTTACGATAATGCTTGAGAATTATAGTTTTACATTAATTCTAACGCGTCAAGACTAGTTAAAGCGAGGGAAAGATGGGTCTCAAATTGAACCTGGTGAATATCAAGGTGGACGTCTATTGGGGGCATTATTTGGGCGGCAAGCGAGATTTTAAGTGGCGCGGATTTGTGCGGCGGAGAAGGAATCAGTAGCGGCAGCTCGCGGGCGCCGAAGTTCCAGACGCGAGTTTCACGGGTCAAGAACTTTATCGGAATATCATCGGGCTTCAGAGATCGAACGTGTATCGGTTTCAACCTCGTAATTTGAAGATTAATGATCCCAATGTCATTAGCAACCTGAGGTCAGTGATTAGCGTTGGTTGGAGGATTAAGGGGTCTAAGTTCTGAAGAAATCGTTTCCTTCCATCTATATAACTCGATCTGGCTTAGTAAATATATATATTTTTGCAATAGTTTAATCAAGTAAATATCATTTCCTTGCCCAACCTGTGATGCTATCACCAAGAGACTCAGAGAGTCCAACAATCTCGGCTATTAGTATTTTCATTCGCATTAATTTTTGCTCTAAAACTTCGTTTTTTTTTTTTTTTTGTGAAGGGGTGTTTGAAATGGATACTTCAGTGGTGGTTAATGCAATAAAGTGCTCACACTCGATGAAATTATAACGAAGCTGCTCGTTTTCTGCTAAAAGACATCGAATCTTTCTAATATATTTTGTGCCGATGGAAACCACACTCGGTGATAGTGCGCATCTCCTTTCTGCTAGTTTTTTAATGTGTCTGTGTGTATGTTTTCTATACATTAGAACCTTATACATTTTTATATTTGCAGAAAGCATTGGGAGCAATTGATGGATCTCATATTCCTGTAATTATGAAGAAAAAAAACACAACAGGTATCGTAATCGAAAGAATTTCATATCTCAAAATGTAATGGCAGCGTGCTCCTTTGATCATACTTTTCTTTATGTGGCTGCTGGATGGGAGGGATCAGCATCTGATATCATCAATCAAATGTGATGAAGCAGGTTCCTCGACCATGTCGAACTAGACCATTCTCTGGTCATATGCTTGTAGAAGATATGTTGGCTGGACATCCTGATCGTTCATATTCTTGTTTTCGAATGAGTTCTGAGGCAATTCTTTTGCTTAAAAATGTTCTAATTGAGAAGAATGCTTTAAGGCCAACTAGATATTTAAGCTGCAATGAACAACTTTGTATATTTCTCTACGGAATTTCACATGGCCTTTCAAATCGAGTATTAGCTGAGATATTTCAACATTCAGGAGAGACTATTAGCAGGCATTATAATAACGTGCTTAATGCTATTTTATCTTTGAAACAAGATTATATCCAGCTTCCAACGGCTGACGTAGACGTTCATCCTAAGATTCGAGAGAATCCCAATTTCTTCCCATATTTCAAGGTAGAGCTAAATGCATATATTTTTTCAAATCTTTTTTAATATGTATGTGTGTATGTTTCTATACATTAGAACCTTATATATTTTTATATTTGCAGAAAGCATTGGGAGCAATTGATGGATCTCATATTCCTGTAATTGTGAAGAAAAAAAACACAACAGGTATCGTAATCGAAAGAATTTCATATCTCAAAATGTAATGGCAGCGTGCTCCTTTGATCATACTTTTCTTTATGTGGCTGCTGGATGGGAGGGATCAGCATCTGATATGTCAGTACTCCGTGCAACACTGGAAGATGGTAAACTTAATGTTCCTGAAGGTAAATTTTAATATTTTTCCTTCTCTTTTTAAAAAAAAATCAATTGCCATTAAAGTCAGATAATTTTAAATATGCAGATCACTTTTACTTAGTTGACTCAGAATATGCTAATACTTCAAAATTTATCACCCCATATCGTGGATCACGTTATCATTTTGGAGATTTTGCAAACAGGACCACCAGAGCCTATCGAGATACTAAAGACAAATATAATCATAGACATGCACAACTACGTAATGTAGTGGAAAAAGCATGGGGAATTTTAAAGCAAAGATTCAAAATTTTAAAAGTTGTTGCTCCATTTCCTTATAAAACTCAAGTCAAAATCGTTGTAGCTTGTTGTGTTCTTCATAATTTTATTGCAAGGCGTCAGGGAAATGATAAATACTTTAATATGCTCAATGGATTAGAGATGAATGTGGATGAAGATGAGGTGGAGTAGGAAGAAGACCCCCAATACATGGTTGGTGCAGATGAAAGTTTAAGGGGTGAGCAGCTTCGCAACAGGGTTGCTTTACAGCTTTGGAATAATAAAAATATGTAGTTGTCGAATATTGAAGTATAAGGAGGTTGAATTATGTCTTTTTACTATCTTTATATGAGCAAAACTTATAATTTTATATGAGCAAAACTTATAATCATTTTTTTTGCCAGGTTTATTGATAGAGAAGAAGCCATATAATGTTTTGTTAGCTCATTATCTTTCTTTAGCAGCTGAAATAATCTGAAATGATAATTTATTTTAATTTACCTTCTGAACAATCATGTATTGAATAATACCAAATTGTCATTTTAGCGTTATTTAAAAAAAAAAGTTTTATCCCAGGTGTCTCAACTGAATTACATATTCGCGCTTCAAATCTTTGAAATTGATCAGAAGATAAACAACGCGAAATAAATATTAATGAGGCAATTAGTTATAAATTTTCAGTAAGGGCGAAAGTGGTATTTTTAAAAAAATTAATGAGATTAATCACATTATCCCTTCTTTATTTGCCAAACACAAAAGTCTTAACCTCTTGTCTTAACTAGCGAATCCAAACGGAATTAGAATATTTTTAACCCTTCACAATAGATTAACTAAGTTAACACTTCTCCTTAATCCCTCTTCCTTAACCCTTTTCCAAACAAAGCCTAAGAGATTTAATTTCTACTAGTTTTTGTGCACGTTCAATTCGCGGGGTCAAATATCAAAATAATTTAATTTTTTATTTTATTACTATAAATAAGTCATATTCATTTTGAATTTAAATCTATAAAATTAAATTATTAGATTTGATACAATTTTTATTTAAACATTATAAAAATGGCTAAATACCCATATTGGTATTTTAGTTCAACCTCATTTGCCAAGAAGATATTTTAAATAAAAAAATCGGCGTTAAGGCATTTTAATTGATTAAAATTACCAATTAGGTCCTTTTTCTCGTCGGCGACCACTTTTCCGACGAGAACTCGTCACGTGCGTGACACGTGATGACTTAATCTGTATAAATACCCATATTGGTATTTTAATTCAACTCAATTTGCCAAGAAGGTATTTTAAATAAAAAATCGGCATTAAGACATTTTAATTGATTAAAATTACCAATTAGGTCTTTTTGCTTGTCGGCGATCACTTTTCCGGCAAGAACTGGTCACGTGCATTTTAATTCAACCGGTTTTCTGACGTGGTAGTGGCAGGAAGAATAAGAGTCGATGCATTTTAAAATCCCCTATTTCTAAAATTGGTAAAAAAATTAGCGAAAAATTCGTGGAGAAATTACCGTATAAATAGAACCTCTTTCTCTTGCATCGATCCATGGCCGCGCCGGCGGCAATCTAGTCTGCAGTGATCTTCGTCTTCTCACTCTCCTCTCTCGGTCTCTCCGAATTCCCATGGCGTTTTCTTCTAGAAGTTCCTGGAATCGGGGGTTTTGGCTGCTTCTATTAGCGGTAAAGGTAAGATAATTGAGTTGGATCTGAGATCTGGAGTGAATGCGTGGAAGTTTGATCTTTGTTTTGAAATTTTTAGGGTTCAGGTTGGTTCGTTTTGGACTTAAATTGTGATTGAGCCACATCAACAGCTAAAACCAAGTCACATCCGCAAACCGAGCCACATCATCAGCTAAAACACAGATTAAGTCATCACATGCCACACACGTGACGAGTTCTCACCGGAAAAGTGGTCGCCGACGAGAAAAAGACCTAATTGGTAATTTTAATCAATTAAAATGCTTTAATGCCGATTTTTTATTTAAAATACCTTCAATTAAAATGCTTTAATGCCGATTTTTTATTTAAAATACCTTCTTGGCAAATGGGGTTAAATTAAAATACCAATATGGGTATTTATACAGATTAAGTCATCACGTGCCACGCACGTGACGAGTTCTCGCCGGAAAAGTGATCGCCGACGAGAAAAAAGGACCTAATTGGTAATTTTAATCAATTAAAATGCCTTAACGCCGATTTTTTTATTTAAAATACCTTCTTGGAAAATGGGGTTGAATTATAATACCAATATGGGTATTTAGCCTTATAAAAATATTGATGTATTGGATTCTTATGCTAAACTGGATCAATATTTAATTTCTATTTTGTCCGAATCAGCAATAAAAGCTAGAATGCCGGTTCTGGAGTCGGCCCAGCCCATTTACCATACAAAATCCAGGTTCATCTCCGCGCACGTCCCTTGGTTGACTCTCCGTCACTGACGACAACCAATAGGCACGCGCCACGTACCTAAAACTAGACCCCACATCGGACCCATTTCTTCCAAAACGGTCAAAAGTCCCAATAAAATCCTTTTCCAACGAGATCTCGCTACCTTTCTCTCTCTGACTAAAAAAAAAAAAAAAAAAATTCAGAGAGAGAGAGAGAGAGAGAGAGAGAGAGCCGAAGGAAGAAGATGCATTCAGTTGGTTACCGCGCGAACGCGCTGGTGACGTTCGCGTTGACGATTCTCGCGGTGATGTGTGGATTCGCCTCACTCTCTGACAACTTCAACGCTCCCAACCCCACTGCTGATGTGCAGGTACTTCGATCCTAAACCCTAGATTTTGTTCTGGTTAGGGTCTTTTTCTGACGGATTGTGGGAATCTGAACGATGTTCGACGGATCGGTCAATGCTGGGCGTGAGGAAGTAAAGGGTTTTCTGAGTTTCTAGGGTTTTTGAAAGATTGGAATTTGATTTTGCAAATTTGGCGTACTTGCAGTCTATGCGTTTGTTGGTTAATTATTTAGCTATCTCATTCGCTTCAAGCTAATAGATCCGAGTCTGTTCATTCCATTGCTATGTCATTCGCTGTGTTCTCTTGTTATGGTAATGGCCACTGTGTTGTTTTGGCCCTCGGAACAAAGGCTTCGCCTTTAATTGCAGCGTAGTCTCCTACCAAGTGTACTATTATGATGCATTTATGTTGTTTCATAATGTTGCATTTTTTTTCAATTTTATACCTTGTAGATTACCTCCCTTGTTCTTGCCTTATACCTTGTGCTGTCGTCCCTTGTTCATTTGTGCTACGTTGCAAGGATTTTATTTATTTCTTCACCCTTGTGACTTTTAAGTTCAGTATATCCTGGAGACCCTTTTTTTGCTTGCACACATAATTATCATAACATTTCGCTGAGCTGGGCCAGGTTATCTTTTTCTTGCAAACAATTGGTTTACTACTTTTTTTACTATTTAATGGTTTTTGAAAACCTTAAGATTAAATAAATGTGGTGTTGTTAATTATAAATGCATTATGGTGGTGTTGTGGCTCGATGATCTTAAAAAAGAAAAGCAATTTGATGACCATTAAAATTGTTTACTACACAATATTTGCTTCTTTCCTTTTCATTTATAGAACACCTGGAGTTGTAATTCTTCCAGAGCTTGTATGAAATATGCCAACCTCCTTCTGGCTTAATTATGCATTAGTGTTGATACTCTTAAGGTTCCTATATTTGATTGTTCTATTTTTAGATTAGTCAGTGATGTTTTCTGAATGTTTGTTTTGGTGCAGGTTTTGAATATAAATTGGTTCCAAAAGCAACCTAATGGAAATGATGAGGTTATTCTCTTTATGTTTTAGCGTTTGCATATTTCAAGCACTTTACGTATCTGGTGAGTTAGTTATGCAGTTAAGTGATCATCTTACAGTGAGAAATTGAAGAGTTATACAATGTAATGCAGTGTTTGTAATATAAAATTGTTAAGCCACAATTGTGCTTTGTGATTCTCTGTTTTTTGGGAGATAACTAGCACAATTAGTACAGAACCAGTAGTCAAACTTAATTCACTTGTTAGACGTTTCTTCTGACAATTAATGCAAGTAGATCTTGAGGATGTGCAACCATATTGCTGTTACTTCGCTAAAGATGAAAACACACTTTTGACTAGCATGCATGCATACAAGCATACCAGTTTGGTTTATGCTTAAGCTCATGCAACCAAAAGTTACCCTCCAAATCTTGTATAGGAAAGTGTTTAGGTGATGGTATAATTATGGTAAATGATTTTGATGTACAGAGTAAGCCAAAAAAATCAAATGGAATGATGTTCCCATAAAACCACAAAATATATAAAATAAGTTGCTGATGAAAGACCTACAAGGATCTGTAATTGAATCAGTTAATTGTTATCAAAGTAGAAAATTACATGTTCTTGACAATGCAAAAGGATAATGTTTACGAAATTTTGTGGTGGGTCATGGGATAAGAGTAATTTGATGAATACGAAAAGGAATTGGTTGTTTCAAAAGAACACATTAATTAGCCCATTTGATAATGTTTGAATAGAGGGACAATATGTTGAGAATGCAAAAGGAGAGTGCTCAAGAAATTTGGTGATGGTTAATGATATACAAGTAAAGTAATTTGATAGGTAGACAAGTTGTCACAAAAGAATACATAGATTAGCCTATTTCATGATAGTTGGGTAGAGGGACAATTTATACATATTTTGATTTCATCCATGCTTCAGGATAAAGTTTTTCTGGCGGTCGTTCAAATTTCTAGAATTATGTGTTGCTCCTTCGGCAAGCTGGCATATTAAATCGCTGTCGAAGCAATAGTAGATCTGAGTGGGATTCAAGATTTCTAATTTTGCAAAAACAGATGATAAACTGTCTAGCTGGAGCTATTCTTTTCCAAGTTTCAAATTTTATGAACAAAAAGAATAATGACCCAAATTTTATGAATAATATTTTATTCTCTTGAGTTTATCTTTTCTATGTTGGTAGTTGTTGCTGCTCACACATGGGATTATAGTTGATTGCTCTTTTTTGTCTTTAGCAATATATCATTTCTTATCTCAAGTACCTTTACTGTGGAGAAATCTATTTATGTTGATTTTAATGACACTAATAATATTTCTCCAAGTATTATTGTTGAAGAAGAACCTTAGAGGGGGTGAATAGGGTAATAAAGATTTTTTTTTTCAAAGATACAATGAATAGGTTACGTTTAAAGATGGTTTCTATGAAGAGATAGATGGACAAATGGATAAGAAGGGTTAATGAGAACGAGAAAGATGGATGTTTAAAGATGGTTTCTATGAAGAGATAGCTGGACAAATGGATAAGAAGGGTTAATGAGAACGAGAAAGATGGATCTTTTGTGGTACTGGTGGAAAGTTTCAAGAAAATTCTCAATGAGACAATTCTGGAATTATAACAGGATAGTTCCAGGATACTCTTCGAATAGCATACTGATTGAGTAATCAACACATGGAGCATACACAATACATATAAGGTGGTTCGTCTATCAACTAGGCTAGATCCAACTATCTAGTCCCTCAACTGTGAATTTTTTCAACTTCACTATAGAAGAACATTCTACTTGAAGTTCCAAGATTACAACACACTCATCGCCTAACTGGACAATCCTAAGCTAGTAGAACTTCACCACTTTTCACACCCGAAGAGTTCACACCTTATAAAGGGAACTTCCAGATGTTCTCTTAATACAACGTATGAGAACTCAAGTTACACTCAATACAATAGCAAGCTTTCTTGATTGCACTTTGAGGCTCTAATAGATTCCTACTCTTAAGGTAAGATGTCATTTGTGACACTTAAAAGGATTTGGTGTAGGAAGATGATTGCTTTGAGAATAGAATAGAGTTGATAGGCTTATGCAATAAACTTTTCAAGTGTAGATGGTTGGAATGATCAAAATGATCATGTGGGAATAACTATAAATAGCCAAACAGTCCAACAAAACTTCAAGCATGTGAGAGAGATTTTACCAAGGTAAGGAGCAAGCTAATCTTTGTTAGAGATAAAATGTGGTATGTCGCTGAATGTAGATTTGGAAATCGACTATAATCTCATGCGTTAGTAGCCATAGCCGCCAACGTGGAAGTATTGAACTTAAAAGAATAATGTTGTTTATAAAGGTTAGCTCATTGTTATTTGTGTTCACATACAAAGCTCTCACTTTTAATTTTTAAATATAAAATAACTTTAGGATAAAATATTCCAAGGATGCAAGATTATATACTGACGATGAGAGAACTAAAGTCAAGGGTGATGACAGCATCAAAACTCATTTGAAATATAATACTCTAAAGGGGTAAGGTATTATCTATGTTACCTAGGTACTTCTAATCTGAAGTCGTACTTGTACCCAACACGTACCAGTACCCATGTCCCTACCTGAACTCCTTGGACAGTCCTTGCATATATGCATGCATTTATTCGGGCATGTGCACAATTATACAATACATGTTTTAATTTAAAATACTTGTCGTACATTTTTTTGGACATATATCCTACATTTTACATCCACTTCTTGAAACTCGTTGAACATAGGTCAAGTTCTGAGTTATGATTTTGAAGGGTGTTTGGATGTCTAGTTCAAAAACTAGTGATTTTCAAATTTATAATCCAACATAATAAAAGAAACATAAAAATGTTATAGGAATTTCGTTCTCATCCTTGTCCTCAAATAAGTTATTAATTCCAATTTATAATATTTATATACAATATTATGTGTATATAAATATTTATATAACCGTGTCCCCGTACCGTACCTTTTGCAAATTTGTTGTGTCTTGTACCGTACTAATGCAACATAGGGTATTATTAATAAGGGGATTTATGGGCCGATGAGAGAAGCAATAAACTAGATCAAACAACGTGATGATTTTTCCCTTTTGATGAAGATATAATGTAGACGAGACAAGGTTAACATTTCAACTTTGTCAAAAAGAATTAGGGGACTAAATGGTTGTGGGATGAAAAACAACCATCAAAACCAAATTGTTTATTCAAAGAGCTGTTGTAATCCCATGTAGGTTTCAGTTTTTTGAATAAAAATTCAGATTCAGAAGCTGATCGTAAATTTGAATGAAGAGACAGTTTTTGTAAATCTGTCGGGAAGACAAATTTGCCATAGGAAAGATTCGTAGGAAGATCTATGGAAAGATCTGTGGAAAGATACAGAACAAGGATTATAAAGGATATGATGTTAGTGTCATGATCTTTTCTACTTTACTATTTGCAAACCAAATGTTACCTATGACTGGTGACACATGAGACTTATTTGGCTTCTCCTCCATCTGAGATTCCAAAGCTCCATGTCCGTTCTCTTGGTGTTGAACTTTTCTTTGCTTGCTTGCTTTGTAGTTTTGCTCCAAGATTGATTTTACATTTGTGTAGCTCACGAACAATTGACATTCATATACTATCTGAAATACTCAACACTTAAATTAAGAGATAAGTATGCATTAATTTATTTTTCATTAGTTAAAACTTAAAATGTAGGTTTTACACATTCGTACTGCTACGTGATGGAATAAATCAAGATTGATTATTCCTCGATGGTCTTTTAATTTCATTATGTATGATTATATTCAAAGCCAACTATAAACTTGCTTTCAGTGTATTGGTTGCCAATCTCGACTAGATCAGGAGTTTTGTACGCTCCAATTATCAACATTTTCCCCTTTCATTATGTCTAATTCAATAATATTAAGGGTGCTGAATTTTTATGTTTGAATTATTGTACTACTTATCGATATTCCTTTTTCATGTTTATGACAGCAACTATTAGCTTTATTCGTTTATTTTTTATTTTTAGTTTTTATTTTTGATTCTAAATTTACGTCTCTTTCACTCCTTAGGTCAGTCTGACGTTGAACATATCAGCAGATCTGCAATCCATGTTCACCTGGAACACAAAACAGGTAGCTATCCATGAATATTACACTCAGACTTCATTTATTTCTTTCTGCACTTTATACATTTGTTTCTGTCGCAGTAGTCATGTGGCGCTGGTTCAATTTTGTGATGCATTTTCTATGTTTGGATATATATTACTAGTATTCTTCTATGAGAAGCCTAGTAGTTGGTTTGTGGGCTATCATTTTATCTCTCCCAATTTACATAATACATACCCAAGCATTATGAAATTTTTATGCCACTATGCAAAATTGCCTTTGAACAGATTGAATTGGCAACACAAACTTCAACAAGTAACATTCATGCAGCACAGACATTTCTGTCATGGAACCCGTTTCTATGTTTGGCACATGTCAAGTGCATCTAAAATACCAATGTTTATTGGGCACTTGTCAAGCACGTGTCAAACACTTTTTCAAACCTATCCATAAGTTGTGATAAGCTGTTAGACACTTTTTGGGCTCTTTTGGCCGCACTCGCAGTTGTAATGCTTCCTAAACACTCGACACATACTGATTACAGATAGAGACTTGAAACATTTGCTTTTACTTACATTTAAAGACTATATTTTAGTGAAAAAGAATGTCAAAGAGTAGCAACTTGGATAATTATAATCTAGAATATGTTTCAAGGTGAGCATTGAGACACGTTAAATATTTTTCTATGAAAATAAAGAGCTAACATGCATCCCCTCTACAAAATCATTAAAAAAAACTTTTTTCAGCACATGATAACATGTTTGATTCTATTATTGACCTGTTTATGTGCATGTTTACATACAAAAGCATGCTTACATATGTGCACAGGCATGACTATATGTATGTGTTTGCCTTCTCTTTAAAGTTTATATGTAATTCTGAGGAAAACTTACATGCTTCAAAATTAAATTTAACGTCTATTCACTATGAGCCAGTGGCTAATTTTGACATGAATTCCATGCGACCAACTTGTTGTTTGTGTTGCATTTTTGTTCATAACCATGCTTCTTAGAATATAATAATGGGCAACGACTGGCAATAGCTCTTTGCTTGCTTTTCTCTAGAAGGAGAAGTAACTTGATTAAATGTAAACATGCGGGATAGGTTGGCCAGAATATTCCTAAATGGGTGATAACAAATATGTTGAGTCAGAAGTAAGAGGAAATCCACAAGAATAAGGATGCACACACTAATATGAAGTCAACAAGAGACACAATATAGAAGAGAGTGATTTAGGAACATATCACCACAAGCCGACCATACTGATGTTAGCAGCAGAAAATAGAAATATGAACATATAATAAATAATCCTACTTAATTCATAAGGAAATAATAAAACATGCAAGTTTTGATGTCAGATCTTTTGGTGAAGTTCCATGACCATGAGTAAGAAAGAGACTAATTACCGAGGTAAAAACCTAGCAATTAGACCTTTATTTCAACAGTTCAAATCTGAATCAGCATATCACAAAATATGCAATATTTGGTTCCAAATGCTTTGATGAAGTTCCATGACTAAGATAGAGCCTAGCTTTCCAGTCGTAAAAGGCTGCAGCTGACAGAGGTAAATATGATTTAAAGGTGTCTACTAGTTGATATCTCTTGAATGCATGTATAAACGTTTGAAAAAAAAGGTTAAAGGATTAAAGAAACAAAGGAATGAGTGGAGAAGGATGCAGAGAAGAAGTTATGAGAAATGTTTGTAGAGAGCAGAGTGTCTCTGAAAAAAAAAATGTAGCGAAGTACATTTCTAAAGCCATATCATATCGTGTAAAATTAATCTAATAGATTTCGGCGTGTTGTGCAAATTTCATATTATGTTCAAATAAATAGATCAATCCACATGCAAAAAGAACATGATAGTACCTGAAAGCTCCGATGGACATTGTAATTAGATTCAAATCTTGCTAAATGATGGGCTTTTGTTCACTTTTCGCCGATGAAGTCATTAAAAGATCAAGTGTATCTATGCACTATCTCTAAGTACATGATACATCTATCTTAATTCAATGTTCCTTTGAATCAGGACATGTAGTTTATGGATGTTCTATTGCTTTGCCTTTGCATCGGCGGAATGAGTGAAGGCTCACAATCTTCAATACCATCCTATTTATCTCCATACTTTCAATTGATGGCATTGTGGCACTTGTAAACATTCTCCATCACAATCATCACAATTCATAATCTATGTAGTTCTGATCAGGATTTTAGTTTCCTATTTTCTTTCCTGATACGGGACTAATGATGCTCTTGGAACTTCATTGCACATGAACAAGCCTGACAATATTTATCAATTAAGATAATTGTTTTAGGTTTCTTGCAGATGGTATCACCAGAGGTTAAAAGATATCTCATTTTCTCTATTATCTTCATTTTTCATTTTTTCTATTTTCTTCATGTTTCTACTTTTTTGAACTTTCACTGGGATTCTAATGGCCAAAATTTCTAACTGGCAATTGTGGTATATGGTATTTTCTTCATGCTTCCAGATTAGGGGATGTAAGTTATGTAATTTGCCACAGCCTAATGCTTGTCTATATGATAATAAATTGGGAAAAATGCTTCCAGCCCCCAAAACAAAAAGAAACATGTCTCCCACCCCCAAGACTTTTTCAACGGGCTCTTTGCCCCCAAAAGTAAACTAATTATTCACTGAGCCCCCAAAACACAAAGCCCAAGAATTTTACACAGGTAAAGACTATAATACCCATTCTACCCATTCTCTCTTTCTCTCTAACCATGCAATCCGGCCCTCTGCTCTCCCTCCTCCTTCCCCCACCTCTCCACCCGCCGCTGCCGCCACCCTCCTCCTACCATCATCGCCTCCTCCGCCGTCGTCGCCGCCCCCAAAACCAACCTTCGCTGCCGATTGATCCACCGCGTTGATCGTTTCTTCGCCGGCGATCCTCGCAACCTTCGCTGCCAATTTAACCTCCCCGCAACAAAGATTCAGCGCCTTGGAGCTCCCCAGGGACACCACCAACAGATCCTCCGCCCCGTCGGTGAAGGGAAACTTCCTCTTATTAGTAAGCACGTGCGTGATTGTAGCTGCCGTCGGATTTCCCATCCCAATCCCCCCTCCCATCGCTTTGATGTTTAGAAAACATCAAAGCGATGTTAAAATTAGGGAAAAATGCTCCGTGAACCCAAATCCGTAAGATTAGAGACTTTTGTCATTTAACACTTTACGATTAGAGACTTTTGTCAATGAAGTTTGAACACAGAAAAGTACTTCTGCTTTGCCTATTACCATTTAGCATGGCCACACATCCACCACAAGCAAGGGAAATACTACGAATATAGAAAAGCTAGATAATGAACTTCCTTGTATGTTATATCATTCGTCCATAGTTCATGCTCAAAAATAAATAATTGATCCAAAATGATTACAGTATACACCGATAAACAAATAAGCAATAGAAGGCATGATTTTACTAGGACAAAAGGAGTTTGTGTTTGCTTTCCTATGGGTTTACTGGAAAATTAACGAACTTAGAGCTGATATTATTTGCAGGAAGTGTTTTCCCATAATTTTAATGAAATTTTCAAAAGTCAAGTGATTTACGTGTTGGTTGTTAAGTTTACGGGTTGCTTGTTAAAGTTACGCGTTGATTGTTAAGGTTACGGGTTGCTTGTTAAGGTTACGCGTTGCTTGTTAATGAAATTTTCAAAAGCCAAGCGATTTACGTGTTGGTTGTTAAGGTTAGCGTTGGTTGTTAAGGTTATACGCGTCGGTTGTTAAGGTTATACGCGTTGCTTGTTAAGGTTACGGGTTGCTTGTTAATGTTAACCGTAACCTTAACAAGCAACCTGTAACCTTAATAACCAACGTAGAACCTTAACAAGCAACCCGTAACCTTAACAACCGACGCGTATAACCTTAACAACCAACGCTAACCTTAACAACCAACACGTAAATCACTTGGCTTTTGAAAATTTCATTAAAATTAGGGAAAATGCTCTGTGAACCCAAATTCGTAAGATTAGAGACTTTTGTCATTTAACACTTTACGATTAGAGACTTTTGTCAATGAAGTTTGAACACAGAAAAGTACTTCTGCTTTGCCTATTACCATTTAGCATGGCCACACATCCACCACGAGCAAGGGAAATACTACGAATATAGAAAAGCTGGATAATGAACTTCCTTGTATGTTATATCATTCGTCCATAGTTCATGCTCAAAAATAAATAATTGATCCAAAATGATTACAGTATACACCGATAAACAAATAAACAATAGAAGGCATGATTTTACTAGGACAAAAGGAGTTTGTGTTTGCTTTCCTATGGGTTTACTGGAAAATTAACGAACTTAGAGCTGATATTATTTGCAGGAAGTGTTTTCCCATAATTTTAATGAAATTTTCAAAAGTCAAGTGATTTACGTGTTGGTTGTTAAGGTTACGGGTTGCTTGTTAAAGTTACACGTTGATTGTTAAGGTTACGGGTTGCTTGTTAAGGTTACGCGTTGCTTGTTAATGAAATTTTCAAAAGCCAAGCGATTTACGTGTTTGTTGTTAAGGTTGCGCGTTGGTTGTTAATGTTACGCGTTGATTGTTAAGGTTATACACGTTGATTGTGAATGTTACGGGTTGCTTGTTAAGGTTACGGGTTGCTTGTTAAGGTTACGCGTTGGTTGTTAAGGTTACGCGTTGGTTATTAAGGTTATACGCGTCGGTTGTTAAGGTTATACGCGTCGGTTGTTAAGGTTATACGCGTTGCTTGTTAAGGTTACGGGTTGCTTGTTAAGGTTACAGGTTGCTTGTTAATGTTAACCGTAACCTTAACAAGCAACCTGTAACCTTAATAACCAACGTATAACCTTAACAAGCAACCCGTAACCTTAACAACCGACGCGTATAACCTTAACAACCAACGCGTAACCTTAACAAGCAACCTGTAACCTTAACAACCAACACGTAAATCGCTTGGCTTTTGAAAATTTCATTAAAATTAGGGAAAATGCTCTGTGAACCCAAATTCGTAAGATTAGAGACTTTTGTCATTTAACACTTTAAGATTAGAGACTTTTGTCAATGAAGTTTGAACACAGAAAAGTACTGCTTTGCCTATTACCATTTAGCTTTGCCTATTACCATTTAGCATGGCCACACAAAAGAACTCCATGTTCTCCTTCCAAAACTCCCTGTTCTCGTAAACCTCCTTCTTCCAGATCGACACCGACGCCTTCACCTCGTTCGATCACAAACCGGCACGCCTCGATCGCGTCGGATCTGTGGACGGCTGATGTCGCGACGAATACGCTGGCCTTGCCGACGGGGACGGTGCCGAGGCGGTGGGAAACGGCGCCGCGGCGGGGGAGCGGACGTGGGCGGTGTCTTGGCGGGGTCCAGGTGGGGGGAGGTGGCGGGGTCCAGCTCTCTCCTCTGCACAAATAAAAAAAGGAAACAAAGGGTATTTTGGGAATATTTATGTTGGTTTTAAACAACATATCACGTGGGGGGTGTTTTGGGGGCTAGAAGAAAATCGCGCAAGTTTTTGGGGGCAAAGAGCCCGTTGAAAAAGTCTTGGGGGGTGGAAGCATGTTTCTTTTGGTTTTGGGGGCTGGAAGCATTTTTCCCTAATAAATTATACCCACTGTTCCATAAAATGAGTACATCTTTTGTTAAATAGTTTAATTCTTATCAGTTAGGTTCAGATCCTCTGCCTTAGAACCTATTCTTTTAAGGTTGTGCCTGGGTTCGGGGACTTCAAAAAACTAATGTAGATGATACAGGACTGGGTTGCATGTTGTGCTCTGGTACAGTGGGGACATGTAATAGAGTACCCTTCTTTGTTATGAGTTGTCTGTGTGACATACAATGTCAAATTGCATATTCCAAAATTTATCAAGTAAAAGCGGTAGCATGTAAAATGCCAAAAGAATTAACCTTTAATAGGAACGACAACATATGTTAAGTTACATATAGTCCTCTCACTTTATCATGTAGAATATCTTAATCATTAGTTTGCAGTGTGGGTGCCTCGTGAAACCCCACCAATGCACCAACGTGCAAAATGCCTGACAATTGGGAACTTATGAATGAAGAGACAAAACTATTTGTACAAACTCCAATTCATCAAGGTGTGAAGGCGTCACTTTTCTGTTTTCCTCATTTGCCACTTATATTTCATTAATTATGTTTTCGTGAGAAGGGCGCATGATTCTGAGTAATTTCCTCATTTTTGCCATTTTTCTTTGATATTGGTTTGGTATTTTGGGATTTACTTTGCTGTTTATCTCAAATTGTCATCCTGACATTCTAAAGGTATTTCTCTTTGTTTCGTATTTCTCTCATGTTTTTGTTATTCTAACATCGCACAGGTCTTTGTCTTTGTTGCTGCTGAATATGAGACTCCACAAAATGCCTTGAATCAGGTTACTTTTATCTTGTTCTGTTGATAGTTCTATTCGTTTTGTTTGATTGAGCTCATAGTCATCCATTAATTGTGTGTTATTTTTGTCCTCTTTTAAATGCTTACTTTAAGACTTCTGACCTTCATTATGCTTGCCAGTTCTAATTTTCCTTGCTGAATATGGATAAGAGCAATGGTGCTTAGAAAACATACTAACTTAAAGAAGAAATAAACTAATTTGCCTGTGACATTACTAAATATCATGTGTTATCATTTTATAATAGTGATGTTATATCAAATATAACCAAAATATGAACAGTGAGTTGCATCTCATCAAAAGAAGCAAAAAAAGCAGTTTAATTATGACAATCTATTTCCTCCATTGAGCTCATGTTTTGATTTAATAGTTAGGGCATGTTTGGCTAGTACTTATTTTATAATTCCTTACTAGTTACTTATTACTTATTTTTACTTATTTTTTAGGGGGTAAAATAGTCTCTTAACATCAAAAAGTAAATCAACTTGTCAGTGGCCAAAAAATAAGTTAGAGAACCCCAACTTATCTTTTTCTTACTTTTAAGTTAAAAATAAGTAATAAGTAGACCCTTACCAAACATGATATTGGCCAAATTTGTGAACTTTAACAGTAAGTGAATGATATTGAAAGTTATTTTTGCAAGTTTTGCATGGCTCTTATTTGTCTTATACTATGGCCAAAGTGTTGCCCTCAACCCCCATCCCCCACATGGTGAACTAAGATGTAGAAAGTGAGGGTGGTGGTGGTTGTCTGTTCTTTTTTCCATTTTTGGGGATAGAAATAAAACATAGTGCATTCTTGATCTGTAAAGAACTTCATGCATTAAGAGCAACACCGACTTTCAACTGACCTTTTTTTCAGGCATTATCAGATGAATGAGGGTAAGATAGTGTGTTGCTTTGATGGTGTTAGTCATTGATTGAATCTTATAACATAGCACAAGCTCTTATACTCTCTTCTTTGCCAGAATGTCATTGATCTGGGTATTCCCACTAATGTATCCAAAACCATCTTTCCAATTCTTGAGGATTTAAGTTCCCAAATTCTTGCACTTCCATTCTCCAGTAATGAAGGCTTCCCAAAGAAAGTGAGATAGTGGGATAACGATCTCATACAAAGAAAACGAACTTGTCCAATAGGCCAAGAACACTGGTTAAATATTAAAATAGATGGAAAACTGTGTACATGCTGAAAAGGCTAAATATTATAAAAATCCCTTAACTTTGGATGATTATCAGAAAACCCCCCTTAACTTTCAAAATGTCAAAAAAAAACCTTAGCTTTCAGAATATCATAAAACCCTCCTTAAGTTTAGGGGTTGTTAAAAAACCCCTTCAACTTTGAGAATTTATCAGAAAATCCCCCTAAATTGGGGGGTTTCTGCTAAAATCTCAAAATTAAACGGGGTTTTTGATAAAATTTGAAAGTTAAAAGGGTTGGGGGGAGGTTGGTTTGTGATAATCCCTGTACTTAAGGGGTTTACTGAAATTTTGAATTTTAGGGGGGGGGGGGGGTGATAATCATACAAAGTTAAGGGGGGTTTTCTGATATTTACCCTGCTAAAATTTGTGATGATTGGGCAGTTGACAAGAGATATGGTAGGTCGACTTGGTTTTTTAAAGACACTGCCAATTTGCAGGTGGTGGTTTAAAGGGACCGCAGTTCATATTGGTATAACTGTATTACCATCTTCTCATACATGACAAAGTGACAAATCTGCTTTTGGCTGGTCAAACCGGGGCATGCAGTGCTGGAATGCTAGGATTCCATGTTGCTCCATTTTTCCAATGTATACCAATCAATAGTGGGTAGTTCTTCGAAAATTGTAGAGATACTAGTAGTGGGTGAGTGAACTATCAAATACTCCACTTCTCGGTAAAATCCTTCTCTTGTCTTGTCTATTATGATTCTGGATTGTTGTTTGCTGTGCCTCTCTTAAGTTGAGCAAACGAATGGCCTTGATCAAGTTGCCAAATAATGTATTTACCCCGCAGAAGTCTTCTCTAGATTGTGGAGTATATTAAATAGTAGAACCCAAGAAAGATACTATAAATCAGTCCTGAGAACTGATGTGTGTCTATAGTTCAATGAAGCTTGTTCTTGATGTGATAAGGATACGTGTGTTGTGTTTATCCTCTGTATTCTCTCTTTTCTGATTGATTGAGATCTAGTTTTTAATGGTACTGCCTACTAGTATTATTAAAAGCAAAAGGTTGTATTTCATGGATTAATAAATATTTCAAGCATTCAGTTCTGATTATCTTGTGTCAAACACTTGGCAGGTTTCACTTTGGGATGGCATCATACCATCAAAAGAGCATGCAAAGTTTCGGATACACACAACAAACAAGTATCGCTTGATTGATCAGGCAAGTTACTTATCCATCCACTTAGTTTTATTTAACTGAACCTTTTCATATCACAACACCAGATTTTATCGTTTTATGTACTAATACTGTCCGAATTGAAGGTTAAAACAAGCACTGTTTTGGTTTCTCTTATTTATACCTTCAATTTTTATATTCGATGTCAAATTACTCAAATGGGTAATATTTGCAATTCAGTTGTGCATATTGTTAGAAGATTGTTGTAAAAAAAAGAAGAATCCTCGTCATAAGAAATGCAGTTGTCAGTGATCTTGTCCCCCAGTAAAGGATTTCAATGAGACAACACCCTTTTTGACAGACTAAAAAGAATTGAATGTTTGTTGGATGTTCCTTGTCTTGTCTTTTCTTCTTGGATTATTGCAAGTCTTGAATCAGGGACTTTCCACAATTTCATGACGAAAAAATGGAGGATCTTTCTATGATACTTCAGTCCATCACCTTTTTCTCCCATCATTGAACAAAGAAAGAATGGAAGGGGAATGTGGATGAAAACTATTATGCCAATGTGAATAATTTGTTCTATATTTTTCTGTTGGTGAAAACTGTGACATCTATTCCAGTAATTCGCTATTGTTTTCATCTTATAGGGAAACAATCTTCGAGGCAAGGAGTTCAACCTGACACTGCATTGGCATGTCATGCCCAAGACTGGAAAAATGTTTGCTGATAAAATTGTGATGACTGGGTATCACTTACCTGAGAACTACAGATAGTGCTCGGTCCTCTCTTGCCGTGATTTGTGCCCCTAAATTATAGAATGCGCCATGTAGAATTAAACTGTAACAGAAACAAAAGGGTAAAGGTCATTCAAGCTAAGGAGGTTGCGTTAAATTTCAGATTTTGTATGGGATGTTTCCCTTGATAGAATGATTTTTGTTATTCTCCTTGATGTAATGGTTTCTCTCTCGTCGTGGGATTATTTCTAATGTGGTACTCGATTTTTTGTTCTCGTCGATGATGCGTGTTTCTTTAGCTTCTTACATTTTAACTTTCGGCGTGACAACATCATCAATGAGTAGACTGAGAACTGCTAAGAAAAAACTGGGGATTACAAGTGTTGAGGAAAATGGCAATTAGGGAATGCAGTACATCAAATGGTCCGGTCTCCGCTGAAGTTTTGCTGAGGCTTTTTTAGGCAAGCTTAGCTCCATGCGATTGCCTTGCTACTCTTTTATGTTGATCTATCAATTAATTTGTCAAAATGAGATTAGTTTCACGAAGAGATGAGAGCGATGAGATCCATTCATCGTATTTGACTAGTATTATGTGCTTCGTCACTAGACATCCCTTGGTAGCTAAGTTATGGAGGTAAATTGTCCACTCTGCCCAATTTTTGTATTAGTATCTGTTTGTTCTTTTCTTATTGTGTTTATTCCACCAAGTGATGTTTTTCCCCCGTCTGAACAAGCCTAATTGTGTTTTACCTTGGTGCAAGTAATTGATGAATCTTACATTTGAACCGAGTCTTTTGAAATAGAGAATTTGCTTGTAATTTGATAAATTTGATGTCAATTGTTCAAAGTCATCGTAATAATACAATGTAAAGCTTTTTACCGTTCAATGGGTCGGTGCTTAGCTTCCATCTCTGCTCCCAAAACCCTTGGAAGTCCTGAATTGTTTAGGCGTCATTTTCACAACAATTTAAGTTTTATCAGTCGGTTACATTTTATCACCAAACATTAATCAACCTTATCGCTTAATTTATTTACAGACTTAATTATTTCGGCGGGAATTGCGGATCTCTTTGATACTATATATGCACACATGCATACAATAAAAAAAACTAAATTTATATAGTTCCTAATAACACTCTTTTTTTTTTTTTTGCTGGCAAGGGAAACCTGGTCACCCCAGCTTAATTTTACTCCCTTTGGGAGTCCCGCCAGCGGCTCTTGATCGATTCCCCGTGGTCCCCAATTTTTTGCAAGGAGCTACCCTTGCTACCAGGGGCTCATCCTCACAGTGTGGGCGAACAGGCAGTGGACCACAAGGACGCGACCTGGTGAGCATACAACGGGCTGAGCCTGAGTGATCAGTAAAACCCCGGGATCCTGTCCCCACCCTTAAACCCACAGGAGCCAGGTGAATGCGGTAGCGGGGATAAACCCCGGGATCCTGTCCCCACCCTTAAACCCACAGGAGCCAGGTGAATGCGGTAGCGGGGATTCGAACCCAGTCGCAACGGGCACGAAACCCACAGGAGCCAGGTGAATGCGGTAGCGGGGATTCGAACCCAGTCGCAACGGGCACGAAGCCTGAGTGACCAGTAATAACACTCTTTTGATTGTTCGTGTCGAGCAATTAGCTCAGATGCCAAATTTTGATGCTAACTTTGGGTAAATTAATTTGTAATCTACTCATCAAGAAAAGAAAAGGAGCATCAGTTGAAGATATAAAATCAAGGACAAGGACTTAGAATTTAGAGGTATTACGTGAGCAAAAGGTTCATTCGAAACATTTTACATCAGTTGACCCAAATGTATAAGATCTGGCAATTATATACACATTCTATATATGCTCAAAGATTATTGGCAGTAAATCTTTTTTTTTTAGAAAAAGGATGGAACACCTCAAAGGTATTCCAGCCAGCTAAATTAAAATATAACTGATTGTTACAAAAAATAGTTCATACTCCCAACCAAGAGTATGTACTAAAGTTCAAAAGAAACTACTACAAGCAGTAGCATATAACCCCCTGTATATACCTGGGAATAAACTCATAAAAAGAGTAAGATGTTTGACACCAATAACCAAATATTTACAGTAAATCATGATATATCAATGGAGAAATGGCTCTTTAATCCTGCCAAAACAAAAAGCAAAGTAAAAGATATAGGGAAATGTTCATTCACATGAAATGATGTCTAGCTGATTAATAATGCTCGGCAATTGATTTTTCTTAAAAAAAAACTGATGATGCTACTTTACTAGAAAAAAAAAAGTAAATAAAATCTGAAGATACCTACTCATATCAAATATTTACTTTTATAAGCGAGAATTTTCTGTAAATGTGATTTGTTACCATGTTTGTATTTTGGGACTGACCTAAAGGGGTTATAACTGAAATTCACATCAATCATCAATTATGAGTACAGTCATGATTAAAAGAAGGGGGGAGAAAAAGAGAGTGATGCATGATTGGAAATTCTCCATCATGATTGGAAATGATACGGGGAGATCCATGTGATTAAAATAATTCCCTCATCACAGTTTTCCTCTTCTTTTTCTTTTTTTCTTTTTCTTTTTCGGAAGAATAAGCATAATTATGTCTAGCTATAACACTTAGCAAGAGCAAAATTGAAAAAGGGGTTAATATAAGAATTATATTTAACATGAAAAAAGACAGAACAAAACGTAAAAATAGCCACAAATCTGAAAATTGTTAAAAATACTAATGCGAAGGAAACGAAATTCTGAATTATGTTCTCTTTCTCACCACACAATTGTCTGTGTACGTGTGTGGCTTGTGTGTGTGCTGTGTGTGAGAGAGAGAGAGAGAGAGAGAGAGAGAGAGAGAGAGAGAGAGAGAGAGAGAGAGAGTTATGAGAATTATATATGAGAATAATTATATATATGTGATATAGACATGAAATTTAAGTTAAACATACCACAAGATGCATAATTGTACTTAACTTTAGTGTCTCCCTGTAATTTCCCTCAGCTTTATTGAACTGCAAATTGATAAACCAGCAATTAATTCAAGTATTTCTTATGCTAGCTGTTCAAGAAAGCTATGGAAAAATACAAAGAGATCACCATTTATGAACTTGCAGACAAGAATAAGAACATATAAGAAGTAATTAAGCTAAAGTAAAATGATAAGGAATTAAAATTAAACATACCACAAGATGCATATAATCGTGCTCGGTCAATTTAGTCTCCCTCTGTAATTTCCCACAGCTTTATTGAACCGCAAAATTGGCAGCCTTCGGCAATTGAAGCCCTTTTCTATGCAGTTCAAGAAAGCTGTGGAAAAATACAAAGAGAACCATTTATGAAGCTTTGAGAAGAAGAAGAAGAAGAAATATAGAAAGCTATAGAGCTAAGAGAATAGTAGGCTAGCTTAATAAGCAGAAGAGGATAGAGAGGCTTATTTATAGATGAGAAGGAGAGGGGTGGGTGGGGTGGGTGGGGTGGGGGTGGGGGGGTGGAGAGAGAGGAGAGAGAGAGAGAGAGAGAGAGAGAGAGAGAGAGAGGGAGGGAGGGGAGACTACTTTTAGGGTTAGGGTTAAAAAAAACTGAGACCTCATCAATCCCAAGAAGAATATAGGCCTAATTAATCTAAAATTAAACTGTAATCCTTCTTTTAACAATTCTTATTTGTGTTGTTCTCTTTCACAATAATTAAATTTGCTTTAAGAGTATATAATAATGAGCATTATTAGGATGGTTGATAAAAAAATTACATATCTTTTTGTTTGGAGGGGTAGTGGTTGATGAGGCCACTTAGGCTAAACATAAATAAAGCAAAGGAGTACCCATGTGGGGTTCATTGTACTAATTGAGTGACAATCAATTATATTCTCCAAATCATGGAAATCTTGTAAGGCAATTTTTTTATTTCATCCTTCCTGTGAATTTTCCAATTATTTCTTGCCACTTTCACCATACAGCACCTAATTGTTTGTTTGTAGAGCTTTACAAAGTGTGATATTTTCCCACCTTCTTTTTTTTTCTTTCAAGAAATTGATTATCTAGATGCTTCATTTTCCTGCATTCAATTTCATTTTCCAGCATTCAATTTCTCTCCTTTTATCTATCTATACCCTAAAAGACCAAGCAACTTCCTTCATATTTTCCAGGAAAATTAGTAAAATAGTCTGTTTTTGCTAATTATTTAGCAAAACGGTTTTGAAAAACAGGACTCAGAAAACATACGGGACTACTAGTCCCGTATGTTTAGAGTCAACTTAATCACGGATTAGTGACCTAGAAAACATACGGGACTAGTAGTCTCGTATGTTTTCTGAGTTCATCTCAATGTTTTATGAAATTTTCTGAGTTCACTAATCCGTGATTAAAACATACGAGAGTACTAGTCCCGTATGTTTTCTGAGCTGTTTTGCAAAATAGACCTCTTTTTGACCTGTTGGCCAAAAAGATGTCTATTTTGCTAAATAATTAGCAAAAACGGACTATTTTGCAAAATTTCCCTTAGAAAAATCTATCCACTGAATTTCTATTTACATTTAAGTTATTTATATGAACAAAGGTTATACATTCACAAATTTCTAAATAATATGTTTAGCAAAAATATCTAGTTTAATGATTTTTTTATAGACGTGTATAGGCGAAAGGGTCTATTAATAATTAAGTCTATATTATTGAGAACTTCTCTACATTGTCAACAAAGGAATTGGAGTTCCATGTTAAAACCCATCTTGGTTATTATTTTATCTATTTTCTTTTAGAACTTTACAGCATGTTTTTTTTTTTTTTGTCACTTTAACCGAATTATGTTGATAATGTACATCATGTGACTGTAGCAGTAGATTATAACCGTAAAAGCCTCCGATATCCCAATTTAGTTAACGCACACAAATCACATGAAGCTTTTTCTAGTTATTATTACTCGCTCTGGCACACGGAAAAAAGTTTTTTTTTTTTTTTTTTGCAGCAAATCTTTCCTGTTCTCTGATCTTACAGTAAAAGTACAATCATAGATACATGTAGTACTTGCACGAATCTCGATGCGGATTGGTCTCCCCATGCACTGCAATTTTCGTGCACAACTGAAAATGGACGTTGTCAGTTAAATTTCTTGGGAATTTGGGAACTTTAGAAAAAATTTGAACATATAAACAATAATTAAATTAATGAGAAAATATTGCGACGTGGTGGTAGTAAAATAATGGAGGGTTGTGATGCCTCCCAAGGCAACAGCAGGATGAAATTTGGGGGCAGCAAACATCGTGCTTGGAATCAAAAGGCCAATAAAAGGGACATGAGATTTGGGGAGCACAACTTACTATTGCCAAATAGTAAGCTTCCTTTGTTTTTATGCATGAGTGAGAATAATGTGAAAGTTTGCATATTAACCCCTTTATTATGAGGTTTCGTTTTAAAAAAAAATTATAGTTATAGTTGTAGTTGTAAAAGCATAAGGCGGTTATGTGCACAAAAAAAAAAGCATGAGGCAGTTTGCCACGTCCGTACCTATTTGTTGGATAATACACAACCTATTAAGGAGGAGTAATTATAACCGATAAAATCAAATAGGGATACAAATCAAATAGGAGAGAAACTGTACAAGTATAAAGCAAATATGAAGAAAACTGAAAATTGAAAATTATATAAACTATGTGATACATATAAAACATTGTTATGGGGTACAAGTACAACCGTTTCCAAATATATGATCTGATGAGCTGCCATCTCCATCCAGCAAGACAAGCTGACACCTCAGTGTCGACACGAGAAGCGGTGCTAATCGGCACGAGACATCCTCACATCCCAGACGAGTCGACATCTCGACCGACAGGAGAGATAGCCAGAGATCAGCGAGCAGTCCGACTCAGCCGACCAAACGAGTCAACATTCATCAATGTCGACACGAAAGGCGGTATCAGTCGGCCCTCTTGCAGCAAGCAACTCGCCAAGAGTCCAGTCGAGTCTATACTCCTCCATGTCGACTCGAAAGGCGGGACGAGTCGCCATCTCCATTCAGCCAGCAATCCTTGAGTCGCCACTCCTCTCAACAAGTCGACTCTCCTCGCCAGTCCCATCATGAGAGACATTGCTTCTCAGCGAAGCTAGAAGATAACTTCGCCAAAGCTCATCCTGATAAATAAGTCATATAATGTCTACTGAAAGACCATGCGTCATCACGCCGCTTATCAGCCCACGTCCCATCGATCGCTCATCAAATCGAGACCGAAGTGATCTTCCTCCTATCGCCAGCAAAAGATTTAATACCCATACCCCCATCATATTAAACAAGGCTGGAGACGTAGATTTGAATGTGCTCGTATTTTTTCACATCTCTAGCATCAGTTGTCATTAATGTGTAACAAATAACCTGAATGCCCCTGTGAATTTGATTTCCCAGATACAAAATTATAAAAAGGGCTAATATGCAAAAAAATGCGGGCAACACATGCGCGCATGTGAACGAGGGACCAAACCCCCGTTTATTTCGGGCGAGGGTCGGACCGAAACTTTTCTTTCTACCTAGTACAACGAGAAGCGGAGCACCCGACTCGAGAACTCATGCGTCCCATCGTGTTATACGACACGCGAAGAAGCTTAAGCTCCCAATCACCGCCCAACTCAATCCTAAAGGGCTAATCCTATTGGCCCAATTATTATAGTGCACGCCCGACACTAAGATGGGTTTTCCATATAAATAAAGATTTTTTTTTAAAAAAAAACCTCTTTTAAAACTTTTTCGTCCGATTTGATAGCCAAACAACCGAGCTTTCAATTTTTGTGAATTTTGGGGGGACATGTGGCTTGATTTGGCAAGAAATTTACATGTCATTTTCCCACTTGGGATTTTTCTTTGGTGTGTAAAACTTGCGTGCTAGAATTGGAAATGGTGAAAAGATGAGAACCTAGAATTTGGTGGTGAGCGTCTTGAGATCTATCAAAGGGTTTGATTTTGGGATGGGTGGCGAAACTTTTTGGTTTTGGTGAAGCGTGTTAATTAGTATATTAGGTGTTTAAGTTTTTTAAAAAAATTCATGGTACCGCTATTCTAGTATCAATAGATTTTTTTTTAAAAAAACGGTTTTTCAAATAGAGTGCACATGGGCACTCTATAAGAGAGGAGTGAGATAGAGAGAAATGAATTATGCACAGAAATTAATGCAAATCAGATGGCCCAATAAGCTATTCATTTCTCTTTATCTCTCTCCTCTCTTATAGAGTGCCCATGAGCACTCTATAGAAAAACCGAAAAAAAAAAAAAATCAATGTTATATGTAAATCAATGATGTGCGTACATATACCTACGCGTGTTATGTACACATTAAATTTATGATAAATGTCGGGAAAAAAAAAATCCTGTTGGCACATTGTGTTACCAAAAACTAATCTCACTGGATTATCTCTTCCGAAGACAACTAAGAGGCTCACATGGGAGAGTGTAGTAAGCAGCAGCGTGGACAGCAGCAAAAAACATTATTCTCATAAATAGTACCAATACAATATTTAGGGTAACACATCTGTCGAACATAGAAATTAACATAAAAGAACAAACTTCTATACCTTCTTCTAACCTTCGCCCATAATTAAAATATAGTTCAGTGATCAGTGGACTTTAGCGTACGTGATGAGGTTGTAAAATTGCTAATTAGCGCTGGCAATCACTAAGAGGTGGTTCTAAAAGGATTAATTTGTTTAATTCTAACATGGGGTTCTTGTCTCTTTTTTGTATTTTATTTATTTCCTCGATCTGTGGAAAAACTAATACCGTGGCCCCCTACAGTTTAGGTTTAGGGGGGGGTGTTTGGTTCAATTTCTAGAAATTATAGTAAATGTTTTCCACCTAAAATATGATTTCCTTGTATTTCTTAAAAAAATTATAGGAAAAGTTTTGAGAAATCAAAAAGTACCAATTTTCTTGTTTTTTGTACTTTGCTTGTTTGGTTCAAAACAAGAAAATAGCTCATAACTTTATAAAAAAATAACAAGATTTGGTAGGTTTTTAATTAAATATGGTATGTGTCATATTTCTGGTGATTTCCTCTCATTTTGAGAGGAAATTGCTTTTTGTAAAATTTGCTAGGTTTTGATATTTTATAGAAAATATTTCTGTAAATTTTTTGTTGAACCAAACACAATTTACAGAAATCTCTGGAAATTTTTTAATTACAAATTTGCCATTGTTAGATGTTTTGAGAAAAGTTTTCTCAAAAAGTGTGCAACCACACAGCCCCTTAAACAAGAAAATTTGAAACCCCAAGGCGTTGGACTTATTTTGAAGGACTTGAGAGTTTTGATCTCATTCGTCTAATTCTGTTGAAATGGTTATTATGAGCTGGCATACTGCATAGTTGAAAATTTGAAACCCCAAGGCATTAAGATTTGATGCTGTTTTTCTTTAATTTTTTATTTTTTATTTTATTTTTTACAACTGAGCTCAAACTCAGCGGGCCTCTACTGATTGGACCATTTTGATTGCTCTGTAACAGGTTGGCCGGGTCCATTAAAATCTTACATTAGAGCGCTTGGCCCCCGTTGTGAATACAATTCTAGGTGTGGTATTGCGCCCTACAACACAAAATACACATTCTTTACCCGTTTTCCCATTTGCAATTTTTATGCGAATTTTGAAAACATTGAAATCTATATATATCATATATTATTATTTTTGCACAGCATACATAAGAATAGGATTGCGCAAAAGACCTGGGGTAAGAACCCTCAATTCACAAGGAGTGTCTAAATACAAATATTATGAGATTTTGAGAATACAACTGGAACATTTTGGACCGATTGCAATCGTTTGTTCGACTGCGTTACTAAGCGCGGTCGTAACTGTAATTGCGCAGACTACAATCGTACGTGACAACTGTTATTTTACATAGTGAAGTCCGTTACGTGTAACGGAAGGACCCCTTAGTCTCCCTGAAACAGAGGACCAGCAAATTGCGGAGAGTTGAACATTAATGATTGAGAGACAAGAGACTATTAGCAATCATGTCTTGCATGAGCTTTCGGTCGCTCTTATGACCCTGAACGGGATGGGAGGAAAACAGTCACCGTTGCTAGCTTTTACCTCCACTACTACAATAGAGAAATCAAATGAAAAATCGGTGAAAAGACGAGCTTCCATTGATTATTCATAACAATGTTGCTCTCTCTCTCTCTCTCTCTCTCTCTCCCCCTCTCATGGTGGCTCTCACTGCACTTTGTTGCCTAGTTTCATGATGGGAAAAGAATATGGTATGGGGAAAACAAAAGGATAGGGTCGGTCTCGTTTCGTGCAGTCAAATCACTTAATTTTCGGTTGGTTTTTTATGATAGATGCATGACTAGAGAACAAGCACGCACTATGTGAATGAAATGACGCCAAAAATTGCTTCGTGCATGAGAAAAGAAATTTTACCTTTCATCAAATTAATCAAGCTTTACCTGTGCTAAGAAGTAAGAACCAACAAACATTCAAAAAGATAATAAAAACAATAAATATAAAAATGCATATTAGTCGCCTCACGATGTTCAGAGATAGATCTGGCATTTTAAACATTTATACACAAGGGAGCCATGATGCTCCATGGTCAGTAATAAAATCGGCAGAGGCACACAATATGTGCTTAACAGTTAAGCAAAGAGGCACTCAAACCTGCAAAAGTAAAAAAAATAAAAATAAAGTGCTCAGTTACTTGGAACCAATCGTGCTAAAATGAGGTTTGCCTAAACATGTAGGAGGAAGCTTGGAAGCACGCTATCTCATACAAACTTATATTATGCAACTCTTCGTCATTAGAGTGACTACTCTTAAAGATGAGAAACAGTTAAAAACCATAGTTAGGCAGCACTAGTGTCAACAAAACTACAAAACAAAACACTATTCCCTACAACCAGTATAAGCCTAAGAGGGCCATGCGAACACCATTGCAGAGTTGAAAATTGCTCGATCTTTTAGGCAAAGTTTCATGGAAAACAATGGACAATGATGTATCAGCATGAAAAGCAAAATCCACATCAAACATCTATCTAATTAGATGCATGCGACTACTAGCTAAAAACAACATAGTCACTTCACGGAGAAAAGTTACCAGCCGGTATTCAATTTGTAAATGAGTATTAAAATTCAAAAAGAACCTGTATGAGTTTCAAGCTTCAACGCCATCACAAGGTCAAGCAAGTAGAAGAACCTAAATACACAGGTCAAACATAGGATATCTCATATCTCAACTACCCAAGTTACCATGTGACATGTTACGTTTGAAGGGCATACCAAAGCGGTAGAAGCCATTTTATTAGTGAAATGGATAAAAATAGCAGATTGAAGTAGTTACTATGAGAGAAGACCATTCATGTGACCTCTATCTCTAGCATCATAACTATGATGTAAGGTGACAAAACTAAGATGCAGCTTGATTATTCCAGTACTGTTTGGAATCTATACAAATAAACCACTAAGAAATCATGGAAAGAATCACTAAGAAACAAAAACTTCAGGCATCTACTCTACGCTGTCATTTAATATCCAGCGGTGATCAGCCTCTCAAACAAGTTAATTTACATAGATACAATGGTTAAAGACCAATCAATTTACCGTCTTTGCGCTCATAAAAAACCTACCGCTTATTTCTTGCTTACTTTTTTTTACATCACCATGTGTGCACAATGTGGTGTATTTTCTTCTTGTTCCTCGGATATGTGTGTTTTTGGCTCTTTGGAGACAACCGAGTATTGATGCTCCCCATTCCTACAGGTAGGAAATTGGTCAATCCAATCAATGCATTGTCGACAATCAAACTCCGACACAAATGGAACTTGGCCATCCTCATACTAGTGATCAATGATTTGAAGTAGTGACCTCTTTAGTAGGACTTGGCCCATTCTCATACTAGACAATTGATAATTTGAAAGTAATGACCTCTTAAGTAGGTCTCTTTAATATTTATTGTTACAAGTAGTGAACAGGTTTTGAAGTCATGCAATCTTGCATGTAAAAGTGTATCAGGCACCAGAAATGCAAATATGGTAGCAGGTTCAACTTAGTGCTGATTAAACAATGAACTACACATGACAATTTGACAACAAGATATGTGCATCAAATTATGAATACTGATTGACATAATGAGAAACAAGCATTTGGTATATTTTCCTGCACTAAGAATCAAGATTTCATTTTCAAAATTGTCACCTTCTAAGCTTTTTCTTAGCCAAGTGGATTCTGAAGGCTAACTATTGGTTGTAAAGGCTTGAGCAGACTTTCTACTTTGATATGCTTCTCTACCAGCCAGCCAACTAAAATTTAGGATTTCTAGTGGCCCTCGCTTATAGTTCACTTAGGAACAATTCAAAGATACGGTAATCTATTTGCAGAATTTGGTTAAACATCCCTGAGACTTGGGACTTTTCAACCATACTCAACCATTGGACTTTGGCTCTATTTGTGCCTTAGAGTTGAAACCGAATGCCCATAGAAAATCCACCATCTTTCCATTGTCCAAATCTTTACCAACTTAGTAGTATTTCTTGTGCTCGCTCCTTGCCTAAAAACAGATAAGTGTATGCTTTCTGATTTGCCTATTCATCCTGTAGGATCTACTCTCCCTATTTTCTCGGCCCTAAGTTTGTGCTATCTAGAGGATACTCATCAGGTTGACAACCCATCTTATCATTTCATCAAAACTCACCTAGCTTCTGCTCCATGTCATATTCCATTTTGATGGGACGCTTATAGATGAATTGCCAACCTTTAGCTCCTCACTGAAATAAAATTCATTCTAAAAGTTAATAAATAAATAAAAGATATATGTGGTTACAGATTATCCATAAATCATTTAGACTGCAACACAATCCCAAATTAGTTTAAAATCATGCTAACAAGAGTTGCATGTTACAAGTACCAACACAAAATGTTGCATTGTGTATCAGCTGGTCACTTGAATCCTTAGAGAAGTGAAATTTCCAGCGAAATTTATGCCTAGAATCTTCACTCGGTATAAGCTAGTATCAAAGTTATGAGCTGAGAGAAAATTGTGTCTACTCTCACCAGCTAACACATTGCGTATGCATATTAACTGCAGTGCTTACAGTATATATACATTTGTACCATTTCTAAAGCATACAAGTTATAAGAGATGATCTTCAATTGCTCATAAGCAACAAAACCTACTTGCGAACAACCTTGTGGTTTGTGGTCTAACAACAACTAGCAGGTCTTAATGATGTGCTCCAGCATGAAGTTGACTTTAGCTAATTTTCACCAACACCATCTTTGTTAATTCAGCACCCTGTATAGTCTCATTAGCCTTCAACATAAATTATATATGTCCCCCATCTAAATCTATACTAGACATGCCTCCAGAACCCATCAAATTGTCAGAATTGAAAGGATCCGGTAACATTGCAAGTAACTTTTACCAGATATCCATATTGCATCTCCTCTATAAGACCCCCCAAGAGCCCAAGAGAAGATACTTCACATATTTCTATCCCTTGGCATCCCCAATATCATGTAATCTTATTGGAAACAAAGTGTAGTATGTACCATAGTGTTTGTTGGAAATTGGCAGTAAAAAGACAGTGAAAGAAAAATTTGACTTGTATTTCTCTCAAAATCGATTACAATTTGGATTCCGATTACAAAAGAGAGGAGAACGAATTTGATTCTCCCCTTTGTTTAATTCTGGGTTCTTCACGGTGGCGATGAGATGCCTCCCTCGAATGCTCGCGTCGAGTTTGCTTCTCGTTGACGATCCGAACGTCTTGATTCACTGGAACGATGTCTTCTCCTCACGATTTGACGCTGTGGAGAACTTGCGTGGCAAGTTTGAAAATAACTCTTAACGAGTTGATAACTCTGAACGAGTTTTGGAAGAACTTGCAGAGCAAGTTTTGAACTCTGATCGAGTTGATAACTCTGACGAGTTTTAGAAGAACTTGCAGAGCAAGTTTTGAACTCTGATCGAGTTGATAACTCTGACGAGTTTTAGAAGAACTTGCAGAGCAAGTTTTGAACTCTGATCGAGTTGATAACTCTGAACGAGTTTGAACTCTTGAAAAAGAGTTGATTTGAACCGAAAGTCGGTTATAAGCCAAGGGAATGCTCTTGTTGCCGATCTTAAAGATGATCTCTTCTGGTGCTGCCCAAAAAAGAAGCCAAGAGCCGAGAGCCAAAAGCCTTCTCCTCCAAGCCAAAATCCCAGCCCGAACTCAGTTGAGTTTTGAGGTATTTATAGGGGATTAAGGGTATAACCGCCCCCCCTTAAATATCTCCTTAATGAGGGTTTAATGGGGTCTAACTGCTCCCCATAAATCTCTCCATGATAGGGTAGTGATCCCCTAAAATCTTGGGGAGAAAACGGTTCTGGAACCGTTTAAATCGTGCTTGAACGAGTTAAACGCTGAAAACAGCGTTCTGGGCTCGAACTGTGCGTTTCTGGACCTGAAACGCACAGTTGAGGTTGAAAAACGCACAGCTGGGGCTGAAAACGCACAGCTGGAGCTGAAAAACGCACAGCTGGGCTGAAAACGCACAGTTGAGGCTGAAAACGCACAGCTGGGCCCGTAAACGCACAGTTAAGGCTGAAAACGCACAGCTGGAGCTGAAAACGCACAGTTGAGGCTGAAAACGCACAGCTGGGCCCGTAAACGCACAGTTAAGGCTGAAAACGCACAGCTGGAGCTGAAAACGCACAGTTGAGGCTGAAAACGCACAGCTGGGCCCGTAAACGCACAGTTAAGGCTGAAAACGCACAGCTGGAGCTGAAAACGCACAGTTCGTGCTGTTTTAGAGATTAACTCTGCGTTTTGATGTTAAAAACGCAGAGTTGAGCCGTACGTCGGAATTGGACGAATTATATATGAAAATTGGCTATCTTGACGAGACGGGGCCATCCGAACCTAGCCATAGGCTTCGGTTCGCTTCCTCCGTTTTGCCAAATTCCTTACGGTTTGAGAGATATCTGCATTCTAACATGAAGAGACCGTCAATTTGTAGTCTCTTTTGCTAGAGCTTTGTACAGATCGTCCTCTTGTAATCTTCGTCTTGGCTCCTTGAAAATACAAGAGTCGTCAGATTGTAACTCCCGATGTTGATTGTGAAGGCTGTTGCATTGGGGCTTTCATTAGTTATCGTGAAGGTCGTCAGATTGTAACCTTCTACGTGAAAGTCCTCAAATTGTAACCATCTGGAAGTCGTCAGATTGTAACTTCCATCATCGGTGTTTGATGGGGGATCAACTATCTATTGTGATTTTTAGACAGCCTACAGAACCCCCTCCAAAGTTTTCGAAAGTTCGCGGTTGACTGGGACGAATTTTCGGAATACTTTGGATCTCAACTCTGATCTTGGAGCTGTTGATTCCTTGTCACAAAGGAGTTGTTCTCTGCACTCGCTTCGAAAGCAGCTTGGTTGAACGGATTTTCCATGCAGGACCTGTGTGAAGGTATGTGCCATAATCCTGCTTCTGGAATGTGGGGGTGGACCCTGCATTTTGAACTTGAGATGCGGGTTTCACCGTTGCATGTTGAATTTGGAACACAGGTGTGACCTCGGCGTTTGGTTTTTTGCATCGCGGGTCAACATTTTGACTTAAGATATGGAAGTGGCTTCCGTGCATTTTTGACTAAGTCTTTGAGACTTGTCTTTGGCGCATCTGTTTTAAGTCTCGACTCACATCTATTAAGCTGATGGGCCTGCAAATGTGCGTAGGATTTTTGGCAAACCCTCAGCCATCAACGGATTTGATAAGCCTTTACCGATTACCGTTTGAGTCGGGCTAGCATGTGAATTATCTAGGTCCGTTCCACATGTAACGTTGTGCTAAGAGAATGAACTCTCTTAGTCTTGATGCTATGATTTTGAATACATAGACTTTGTCATTTTGACGGGAAAAGACTAACCGGCAACGCGTGTTAGGCGTAGACTTATCTCTATTTAGGGATCGAGATAAAGTCCCCCATGCGTGTGAGGCATGGATTTTGATGTCATTTTCACGGTAAAAGACTAACCGGCAACGTGTGTTAGACATTGAATTATCCCTATTTAGGATTCAGGATAAAAATTCCCCATGCGTGTAAGGCATGGATTTTGGCGTTATTAGTAACGACCTGCTACGATGTTGAATACGTAGGCTTTGCTATTATTACGGGAATAGGCTACCCGGCAACATGTGTTAGATTCAGACTTATCCTTACTTAGGATTCAGGATAAAATCCCCCATGCGTGTAAGGCATGGATTTTGGCGTTATTAATAACGACCTGCTACGATGTTGAATACGTAAGCTTTGCTATTATTACGGGAATAGGCTACCCGGCAGCACGTGTTAGATACAGACTTATCTCTAATTAGGGATCGAGATAAAGTCCCCCATGCGTGAAGGCATGGATTTTTGGTGTCATTTCTTCCTGTGTAGCTTGAAACACCGAAAGAATTAACAAGTTCATTGGGGGGTTGACTGTTAGAGGTGTTATGTTAACATAACAGTATTTTATGGACCTATCGCTCTATTGAAGAGAGTCGATAAGTTGATTTGGTCGTCAGAGGTGTGGTGTTAACTTGACGAGTTTGTGGACCTATCGCTCCATTGAAGAGAGTCGATAAGCGGATTTTGTCAGAGGTGTAGTGTTAACGTGACAAGAAGAATATTGCTATGGAAGCAATTTTGAGGACTTATCGCTCTATTGAAGAGAGTCGATAAGTGGATTTTTGTCAGAGGTGTAGTGTTAACGTGACAAGAAGAATATTGCTA